GACCATAACACAAGGCACAGATCACTCTTTGATGTTCCTCGTGTCCATGTCACAACTATGCAAAAACTCAATGCACATAAAAGGCCCTAAAATCTGGAATTCATTACCTGTAAATATAAAAGAAACACTACCTGTTTATAAATTCAAGTCTCTTCTCAAAGATCACTTACTCACCCAAAACCAAATAAATACTGAATAACTGAACCTTATAAATTGTATATCTTAAATGTTTCTCACAATTATATCACATAAATGTTAAACCTAAAACCCAACTTTATTATTTTTTAAATACACTACCTAACAGAATCCTTCATATGACTGAATGCAACCATATGACCTGTCGTTGTAATACTCACTTGTGCTTTATAGTAATCTGTTTACATTAAAGTTTTATCACTGATTTCATCATTGCTTAGTTAATCTTAAGTTAATTTTAAGCCAGCCCGTAATGCTATGCATAGTATAAGTGGCTTTGGCATGCTGCTCTTATCTGTATTTTTTGTACCTCTGTATGTGTGCTCAAATTTTTAAATAAATAAATAAATAAATAAATACTACTACTACTACTAATAATAATAATACTAACACTACTATTACTACTACTACTACTACTACTACTACTAATACTAATACTCCTACTACTACTACTAATACTAATACTACTACTACTACTACTAATACTAATACTACTACTACTACTACTAATACTACTACTACTAATACTACTACTACTACTACTAATACTACTACTACTACTACTACTAATACTACTACTACTACTACTACTAATACTACTAATACTACTACTACTACTATACTAACTACTATACTATAATACTACTACAATACTAATACTACTAATACTACTAATACTACTACTACTACTACTAATACTACTAATACTACTAACTATACTACTACTAATATACTACTAATACTACTACTTTACTACTAATACTACAAATACTACTGATTATACTACTACTACTATACTACTACAAATACAAATACTAAATACTACTACTACTACTAATACTACTACTACTATATACTACTACTAATACTACTACTACTACTAATACTACTACTACTACTACTAATACTACTAATACTACTATACTACTACTACTACTACTACTACTACTACTAATACTTACTACTACTAATACTACTACTACTATAACTACTATACATACTATACACACTACTACTACTTACTACTACTACTACTACTACTACTAATATACTACTACACTACTAATATACTACTACTACTACTACTAATACTACTACTACTACTACTACTAATACATATAATACTACTACTCTACTACTTACATATACTACTACTACATACTACTACTAATACTTACTACTACTACTACTACTAATACTAATACTACTACTAATACTACTACTACTACTACTACTATACTACTAATACTACTACTACTACTAATACTACTACTACTACTACTAATACTACTACTACTACTACTACTGCTACTTCTACTACTACTACTACTACTACTACTACTACTACTACTACTAGCCAAGAAGAGTACCCAGAAGGAGAATGTAGAATATTCAAATTCAAAGTTTATTCTCTATAAGGATTACAATGTTGAGTTTACAGAAATTTGGTTATTGTGTGGTTTACATGTAGTAAACACCCATATTGCCTGTGTCTAGCGAGAGTCGAGTTAACATGCAGTATCATGGTGTCAAAGTATATGCAGGCGATTTTTCCATAAACATTTTTAATCTCTATGCCCCAGCGAACCAGCTTCGACCTGATGCTTTACCAGATCGCATCAATAGTGAACCTACCATCATTCTTGGAGATTTTAATGCCAGACATAAGAATATTGGTGGGTCTATAACAAACACCAATGGAACTAAACTAGTGAGATTGCTAAATGAGCATGATAATGTTCGAATTGTGGGCACTACTGAGCCTACTCACATATATTGTGGCATACTAGATCTGTGTCTTGGATTTAATACATCATATACGATGCATGACTCTGTCATAGTTGATGATCTTCTATCTGATCACTTCCCAAGACTAACAACTGTCAATCTTGATCACATCTCCAGCAATCAAGGAGCTAAATACAGAAGGAGGAAACTTATTCCAAACCAGAACACAGAGACAACTTTATTAACCACTTGGATCAATGGTATAAGAATTACGAGCCCACTGGCACACCAAAAATATTATTGATGATTTAAACCACTCTGAGAGTTTTCTACAGATCAAGTGGGCAGGAATAGGAAACAAAAACCTCCACTATAAATAAACAATAATAACCAATGTAAATACTATAATGATCACAGCTGTGCATCTAAACATGCAGCTAGGTGGATTGGTAAAGGCATACGTGAATGTAGAACCCCAGACCTGTTCAGAACGTGTCCAAGCTAGATTTTTAGCTTTTGCCACCGAAAGTGGCTAGTTTATAGTGCACCCCATATCCATTGTGGCGGTTTAGCGCGCAGAGCATATGGATACACAAAAGGCCTAGGAATAGGCCCCAAGAAGGGGTTAACAGAATACATATGGATTTATTATTACATATATATAGTTCAACTGATCTGTTACAAGCAAATTTAGGAAAATTTGCTTATTATATGTGTTTCTTATTTTCATTAATAAGTATCTTGACATGTCACCTAGGTATATATCCTGTCGTCTCTTGTATTCCGCAATAAGTGGATAATTAAGCTCATAGTGTTCAACGAGAGTGGACCCATATGCCTGATCACTTATTTACATTTAGTTTGATCATCATTGTGATGTGTCTCAAAACTGCCAGAAAGTCTTGTAACCAAGCCTAAGCCGGCCACTACAACATCGTCAGTCTGTTCACATTTGCAAGTTGCTCATAAACATACCTTATCTATCGAACGTTTCCAGCTGCACTAACCAATGCATGTTATATAAAGCGAAGAACTTAGGCAGAGGAATGGGAACAGTTTGGATACGTGGATTAAATAGGTCCCACCTTTGTGTTTTGGCTTGGAAAGGTATAAATAAAAATAACCAGGAAAAAGACTGGCAATGTTGCTTATCCTTTCCTCTGGAAAAAGAAAGGACTCGTAAATGACTGGTCAATATCATCCAGGCATGTAAGCCTTCCATCTCATATTAGAAAAAAATTAGAGAGTACTTCTGAAGAAACTGTTGAAATCTGATTAATTTTTATGATCCAAAATATTGATGAGAGTGATTGCCTCTTTTACGAGTATTGAATTTGATAATGCATTAACCAAAGGTCGATCAACTGCTCCCTGCGAGAGGATGGTATAACCTATGATATTCTCAGAACCTTAAGGCTACGTGCCTGATAAAAACCCTTTTGTTGCACTGTATAATCTCAGTTACATTGTGGGGCGTTTTTATTCTACTTCCTGGACAATAGTCTCATTGTGCCTATCCTAAGCTCCAACAGCTGATACATTTAGACGATCTCCTTAACTAGTTGTCTTTGTAAAACTTTTGAAAGAATGATGCTAACAGACTGATTACTACAGATAATCAGAGATCAACTTTCCCCTACTCTATGGGTTCATGAAAGGTAAAAAGAAATGTCGTGCAGAACTGTATTTCCACCTTTTCTCACTGCACACACCTCTACTAGTTTTACCACTTTTTTGATCTAAAATCTGCATTTGATTATTGCGACAGAAAACCGTTATACTTCATGACCTTGCCAAAATGAATATTGGTGGTTTGCTCTTACTCTGCTGGATAATAGGATTACCTGTCAAATAGTGTATCCTCTGTCCTTTACATGGCTTCAGAAGTGATTCTAAAGAAATGTCTTTAGGTTTACACCGCAGGGCAGGGGAGGAGTTCTAAGTCCCATGTATTTAATTTCTGATTAATAGCTCTCCTGAATGGCTTCTACCTGCCTCTACCTAAACTATAGCTATATGCTATGCTGATGATATAATGATCCATACAAACAGGGCATAGAAGTGAATCCATTCTTAATGATGTTCAAGCAATTATGTAATCGACTGTGGCCTCATTAATATTTCCTCTAAAACTAAGATTATTACAAGCAAAGCAAACGACATCCCCCACCCATCTTTGCTGGGTGAAACATCTTTTGCTACGTTAAAACTTACAGATATTTGGTGTAGATGTACCCTTTACAAATCCACTATAACCACAACTAAACAGGAAACGTTAAAGCTAGGCTAATGTCTCAAAGCTGTTGCTGGATACAATCCCAACTATGGGTGCAAAGTGAGAATCGGTGAGATGATGTACATAGGCCTTGTTAGGTCTTAATTGATTATGCTGCACCCATGTTGTTATTAGCTAGAGAAAGTTCTCTCCAACCCTGGAGTTAATGCAAAATGAAGCCTCTCTAGGTTTATTTTGGCTGTCCCAGATCTACAAAGTTCTTAACTTGAGGAAGGAGCTTGGTATTTTAGTTTCAGTATAGGATTGTTGAAATTAACACTGTACTCGGTATTAGTTAGTTTATTTATGTTTATTTGCACCCCATACCCATCCTGTGGGCGGTAGTCAAAAGATTACAGAGTAACATAATGGCTCCAGGGACTGGACTCCAAAGTTTTGATAGCTGAACAAATTACAGAGGTAAAATGAACTCACAATTTACAAAGGTAATGAACTACAATTTACAAAGGTAATGCAACTCACTATTTACAAAGGTAATGAACTCACAATTTACAAAGGTAATGAACTCACAATTTACAAAGGTAATGAACTACAATATGAGAGTGTGAGGTAATGAACTCACAATTTACAAAGGTAATGACCTGCACAATTTACAAAGGTAATGAACTCCAGGTAAGTCTGGTCACAATATGACAAGTATTACAAAGGTTTCTTTACAGATTTACAGAGGTACGTAATGGGTCCAGGGAATGGCCCCCAAGTTTTGACAAGCTGAACTAGGTACAAAGGAAATGAGCTCAAAAGTTACAAGGTAAATGTATTCTGTAGAATGGTTGCTTACGTTTATTACTTTGGCTACAATCATGAACAAAGTATAGAGTTAATGGCAATTCACACTTCCACACCCGGTCACGAACTGTAATGAGTTATTGGTGCAAATAATTGATTGTTGTGTCCACACCAGCACACACAGCACACACACATCACACCACACACACACACGCCACACACACACACACACACAAACACACACACACACACACACCAACTTTTGTTTAATATCTTTATGCACCCCCATTCCTCGCAGCGTGGGCGGTAGTCAAAAGATTTAAAAGGTACATAATGGGTCCAGTGACGGGACCCCAAAGTTATGATAGCGAACTAGTTAAAAGGTAATGAACTCCAGGTAGATCTGGTCACTAATCATGGCAGTTACAGAGGTAATGAATCAGCTTCACTCCTATACATGGTTACAGTCATGTAACAAATTACAAAGTAATGATCCATGATACGTCCCCACTGGTTCACAATTGTAATGAGTTATAATCAAATATTAATGGGATCATACACCCACACTAGCGCGCGCGGCGCTCATACACACTCGAGGGCGCACGCACGGACATGTGCACACGAGCGTACAAATTATGCATACACACAAGGACGCACACCCACACACAACACCCACACACAACACGAACCAGACACTTTACAGTGAATCTTACCAAGGGTTTCTAGGGTAATCAAAGATCTAAATGGATTGTTTGAAAAAGTGCAATTGCTTTAAGTTTATAACTGCATGAACTGTATCACTGTAGGCAACAAGAGCATTTCACCCCTGTGTGAAGATGTGTTCATTTAATATAACATACCTACAAGTCCTCCCAAGAAGAATCTTTGCTAGTAAATCCCTTCCTTAAATCTCTTGGTAGAGGCAACTGCTCAAGAAGAATTTCTCACTAGCTGGTAGTAATAAGTTTTCACAGTTATATACATGATGATTAAAAGGAGTCTTCTGGCAGGGCTGCGCCTCTCTCTTGTTGCCACTCCCTAGTAGATCGATAATTAAATTTGTTGAGTTAGGCATAAGAAGTAACAACTGGGCGTCTACCTGCAACTGAATTGTTTGCATCCTAATGGCGCTAAAGCTTACCTATGGACACTGAGCTTGAGCTCTATTCATCATTACTGATTCTATGTCATCATTGATGCTCTTGGCTCATTATAATGACTCCAAAACATGCTCATTGGGGAAGCCAGGTATAGATACTCAAAATTAGGGACAAAGGAATTAATGTACAATTTGCTATGGATCCATCACACATTTGGATACTCCTTCATGATAAAGTTGATTGATTAGCCAAGAAGAGTATCGAGAAGGAGAATGTAGAATATAACTTTGGTATAACTGTGGCTAGGAATTAGGAATAATATTAGGAGAGAAGTAAAATAATGGAAAAGACGCGCGCTTATAGGAATGCAGTTAGAAGCCTGAGTCGATCTATATACCACTATGATAACATGAACGGAGATAAGTATGTTTATGGACGGAACTTGCTGTGTGACACTGACTCGACTGATGTTGTAGTGGCCAGGCTTAGGCTTTGTTACAAGTACTGGACTGGATGTTGTAGTGGCCAGGTTAGCTTGGTTACAAGGTACTTCTGGCACGTTTGGGAGACACACAGATGATCAAAATAAATGTAAATTATGTGTTCATGCATATGGTCACTTCTTGGGAACACTATGTGCTTAATTTGTCCACTTATTGAGGAATACAGAGGACAGACATTTAGAATAACCTATGTGACATGTAAGATATCTTATTAAGAAAAATAAGATACCAGATATATAAGCAGTAATTTCCTAAATTTGCGGTGTTGTAAACAGATAAGTGAATAGAGATATGTAGATATAATACATAAGTATTCTGTTACCTTTTTGGGGCCTGTGTTCCTAGGCCCTTTTGTGTATCCATATGCTCTCGCGCTACCGTCCACAGTGGATATGGGAGCTGTGCACAATAAACTAGCCATTCGTGGCAAAAATCTAAAAACATTTAGTAAAATTATGATTACAGAGTGTTACCACTAGAAGCTTTAGCATTGCTAGGCATTACGGGCATATAACATATAACTTTGTTATATCTGTGTCTAGCTTTAGGAATAATATTTTTAGGAGAGAAGTCAAAAATGAAAATGATTGTTATAGCAATGCAGTTAGAAGCCTGAGTAGATCTATAACCCACTTGATTAACATGATCACGAGATATGTGTGTGTGATTTATGGCAGCAACGTGCAATGTGAACACTGACTGATGTCTATAGTGGCAGGCTTAGCTGGTTACAAGTACTGGATTGATGTGTTGTAATTGGACCAGGCTTTAGCGCTTGGATTACAAGTACTCGCTCACGCGTGTTGTAATCGGCCAGGCTTAGGCCTTGGTTTAGCAAGTACTGGCTGATGATGTAGTGGCCAGCGCTTAGGCTTGGTTACAGTACTGATGATGTTGTAGTGGCAGGCTTAGGCTTCGTTAAAAGTACTGACATGATGTTGTAGTGGCCACGCTTAGGCTTGGTTAACATAGTATGCTGTTAGTTGTAGTGGCCAGGATTAGGCTGGTTAAAAGTACTGACGATGTTGTAGTGGCCTGGCTTAGGCGTGTGTGTGTACAGTACTGATGATGATGTAGTGCAGGCCTTAGGCTTGTTACAAGTACTGACTGATGTTGTAGTGGCCAGGCTTAGGACTGGTTACAAGTATGACTGATGTTGTAGTGGCCTGGCTTAGGCTTGGTTACAAAGTACTGGACTGATGTTGTAGTGGCCAGGCTTAGGCTTGGTTTAACAAGTACTGACTGATGTTGTAGTGGCCAGCTTAGGCTTGTTATAAAGTACTGGATGATGTGTTGTAGTGGCAGGTTAGGCTTGGTTACAAGTACTCGCGACTATGTTGTAGTGGCCAGGCTTAGGCTTGGTTTACAAGTACTGGCTGATGTTGTAGTGGCCGGCTTAGGCTTCGTTTCAAGTACTGACTGTTGTTGAGTGGCCAGGCTTAGTCTTAGTTACAAGTACTGACTGATGTTTGTAGTGGCCAGGCTTAGGCTTGGTTACAATACTGACCTGAATGTTGTAGTGGCCAGGCTTTGGCTTGGTTACAAGTACTGACTGATGTTGTAGTGGCCAGTTTTAGGCTTGGTTACAAGTACTGGCTGTTGTGTAGTGGCAGGTTTAGGCTTGGTCTAACAAGTACTGGACTGTTGTTGTAGTGGCCAGGTTAGGCTTGGTTTACAAGTACTGAACTGTTGTTGTAGTGGCAGGTTTAGGTGTGGATACTAGTACTGACTGATGTTGTAGTGGCCAGGCTTAGGCTTGGTACAAGTACTGAGATTTGATGTTGTATTGGCCAGGTTTTGGCTTGGTTAAAGTACTGACTGATGTTGAGCTGGCCAGGCTTAGGCTTGGTTACAAGTATGACTGATGTTGTAGTGGCCAGGTTTAGCTTGGTTACTAGTACTGACTGATGTAGTTGTGCCCAGGCTTAGGCATTGGGTTACAAGTATGACTGATGTTGTAGTGGCCTCGGCTTAGGCTTGGTTCAAGTACTGGACTGATGTTGTGGTAGGAGGCCCGTTTGTTATGAGCTGTGGTTTTCAAGTCTGACTGATGTTGTAGTGGCAGGGTTCTGGCTTGGCTTTATAGTACTGATGATGTTGTACTGGCCAGGCTGGCTTGGTTACCTAGTACTGACTGATGTTTGTTTGGCCAGCTTAGGCTTGGTTACATGTATGGTCTGATGTTGTACTGGAAGGCTTAGGCTTGGTATCAAGACTGACCTGATGTTGTGTGGCCCAGGCTTAGGCTTGGTTACAAGTACTGACGGATGTTGTAGTGGGGGCCCAGGCTAGGCTTGGTTAACATGAACTGACCGATGTTGTAGTGGCCAGGCTTAGGCTTGGTTACAAGTATGAATGGTTGATGTTGTGCTCCAGGCTTAGGCTTGGTTACAAGTATACTGACTGGTTGTTGTAGTGGCCAGTCTTAGGCCTTGGTTACAAGTCTTGACTGATGGTAGTGGCAGGCTTAGGCTTGGTTACAAGTACTGAAACTGATGTTGTAGTGGCCAGGTTAGGCTGGTTACAAAGTACTGACTGTGTTGTAGTGGCCAGGTTAGGCTTGGTTACAAAGTACTTCTGGTCAGTTTGGGAGACCACAGATGATCAAACTAAATGTAAAATTATGTAGATCAGGTTATGGTCACTCTCTTGAACCATATGTGTTAATTGTCCATCTTATTGCGGATTACAGAGGACAGTCAGTATAATATCTATGTGACATGTCAAGATATCTTATTAATGAAATTTTGATACCGATATACTAGCAATTTTCCTAAAGTTGCTTTGTAACTGATAAGTGAACTATAGTTATGTTGTTAGAAATATCCAGATGTATTCCTTTAACCCTTTGGGGCCTTAGTTCTAGGCCTTTGTGGGTATACATGCTCTGTGCTACCGTCCACAGGATGGATATGGGGGGACACAATATATGAGCCACGTCGGTGGCATAAAATTAGGTCTAAAAAAAAAATCTATACTACTAAACTAACACTTCCTCACATCTGGTCGAAGTCAGCCGCTCTCGAGTCGCAACTCGAGACGTCGTCGTCGTATCGTCGTAGTATTAGCTCACGTCGTCGTAGCAGATTCTCGGAGTCGTCGTCTCGATCTAGTATACTATACTCACAATATACTACTTCACTCTAACTATTCTACTCACACTATACATACTCACTTACTACTATATCCACTACTATACTAATACTTACATACTACTACTTTACATACTACTACTACTTATATACTACTACTCTCACACTACTACTAATATTTCCTTCACCATACTACTACTATACTTCTCACACTATCTATATCTACACTATATTACTACTCCACACTACTATACTCCTACTACTACATACTCCTCAAAACATAAAACACTCACAATATGCTATACTCCTCACATACTTAATATATACTTTATTTTTTCTTTACCCCCACCTTATACTACACATCCACAATCCACAAAACTCTCACACACAAATAAAAATCACACAAACACAAAACAAAAAAAAACAACAACACCAACAAAACCAAACCACAACACCCTACAACACCACCCACTCCCCAAAAAACAAAAAAACCCGACACAAACAACATCACACACTCCCACATACCACACACCCAATACACACAACATTCAAACCCACCAACACACAACAAACCCACCACACAAACCACAAACAAACACCAACACCAACACCCACACCAACCCCCAAACTCACCACCCCTAACACACCCCCCACCCCTAAAAACCAACCCCACCAACTACCCATAACCTCACCACCAACACCCCTCCACCCACAAACCAAAACCACCCCCACACACACATATCCCCTCCCACAACACACCACCACCCCCCACTCTATAATAATTACCATCACTATACCTTCCCCCACTCCAACAATCCAACCACCTACACCACCTCTCCCCCCCACCCCAATAACTACATACTTACTCCATCCACTAACACACTCCTACCACTACTCCTAACACCTAACTACTTCCTACTATATCACACTTCTACTTACTACTCACACTACTATCCTCCCACTACTGCTACTACTACTCACACTACTGCTTACTACTCTCACTACTGTTACTCCTCACACTACTAATACTACTACTACTCCACTACTACTACTATACTACTCCTCACATACTACTATACTACTTCTCACACTACTATGTGTGTGTGTGTTACTCCTACACCTTATACTACTCCTACACTACTACTATACCCTCTCTCACACTACTTGTGTGTATCACACGACTTCTACTCCTCCACTAATACATACTCACTATACTACTCATCACCACTACTACTACTACTACTCCACTACTACTATACTCCTCACACTACTACTACTACTACTCACACTATACTACTATTCCTCACATACACATACTCCTCACACTACTACTTTACCTACTCTACAATATACTCCTCTCACTACTACTACTCACACTACTTACTAATACCTCCTACATACTATGCTACCTCACACTACTATTACTACTTGACTCTACTATTTACTACTACTCCTCACATACTACATTTACAACTCCTCACATTACTACTAACTCTCACATACTACTATTCCTCCCACTACTATACTATTCCTCACATATACTACTCCTCACATTTCTACTACTCCTCACATTTACTACTACTCTCACATACTACTATTCTCACACTATATACTACTTACACTATACTACTACTTCTCACACTACTATACTCACATACTACTACTAACCACTACTATACTACTCACACTACTACTACTACTCACACACTACTACTCACACTACTACTTATCCTCACACTATACTCCTAACACTTACTACTACTCCTAACACTACAAAACTATACTCTCACACTACTACTACTATCACACTACGTACTACTTACTCCTCACAGACTACTACTACTACTCTCACACTTACTACTCACACTACTACTACCTACTACTCACACTTCTACTACTATCTTCTCCTCTAAACACTATCTACTACTCCTTCACACTACTACTACTACTCCTAACAATTCTACTACTCCTCCACATACTACTACTACTCCTCACACTACTACTATTACTCTCACACTATACTATGTCATTACACTATACAACTACTCTCAGCACAACTACTACTACTCCTTACACCTATACTACTATCCTCACAAATACTACTACTATCTCACACTATACTACTATCCTCACACTATACTATACTCCTTACATACACTACTAATCCTCACACACTACTACTACTGCACACTACTACTATATTCCTCACACTACTACTACTCTACTCACTACTATACTTACTCCTTACACTACTACTAACTAACTCCTCACACAATACTATACTCACACTACTTACTTACTATTCTCACATACTCTACTACTAACAACTACTGACTACCCTCAACTACTACTACTATTCCTCACACTACTACTTACTACTACTACTTCTATTACACTCACACTACTATTCCTCACACTACTACTACGTCTCCACATAACTACTACTCACATCTTACTACTACTTACTAGTACTACTATATTACTCTCACACTAGCTATCCTCCACACTACTACTACTCCTCATACTATACTACTAACACTACTACTACTATCCTCACATACTAATACTACTCTCACACTACTCACTACTACTACTACTCACACTACTACTATATTCTAACATATGCTACTTAATCACACTACTATATTCACACTATACTACTCCTCACACTACTACTACTACTACTACTCCTCACACTACTACTAATCTCTACATACTACTACTATCCCATACTACTCTTAAAATCTACTACTTCTAGTACTACTATCACCTACTTCTCTCACTAACTTCTAATCCTCACATCACTACTTCTCACATACTACTACTCCTCACACTACTACTACTCCTCATATATACTACTCCTCACAAATACTACTACTACTACTACACTACTACTTCACTACTTTACTCCACACCCTACTACTTCTCACACTACTACTTATCCTCACATATGTGTTCCCGCACACATATACTACTACTCCTCCTCACACGTACTATACTCACACGGCGCGCATAACGGAGATAAAAAACCCTCCAATATGGGAGCACTGTGGTTTTAAACCTGTATTCCCTGGAACGCTGGGAGGGAGGGAGAGATACATGATTATATACACCTGGAAAATCCTAGATGGGAACTGAGTCCCGAATCTTGCACACGGAAAATCACTCATACGAAGCAAAAGACTTGGCAGACGATGCAACAACATCCCCCCAATGAAAAGCAGGGGTGTTCCTCTAGCACGTTAAGAGGACATACAATAAGTGTCAGGGGCCGGACTGTTCACTGCCTCCAGCATACATAAGGGGATATTAACCAACAGACTCCCTGGCAAGTCTCGAAGCTGGCACTGGAACAAGCACCCTAAAGTCGGTTCCTGACCAGCCGGGCTGTGGCTGTACGTGAGGTTTGCGTGCAGCAGCAAGCACAGCCCTGGTTGATCAGGCTCTGATCCACCAGGAGGCCTGGTCACAGACCGGGCCGCGGGGGCGTTGACCCCCGGAACTCTCTCCAGGTAAACTCCAGGTAAACACTACTACTCCTCACACTACTAATCAGAGTACAAAACAAATTCTGGCCACAAAATAGAGCGAAACACCAACGTCAAAGACCTGGGAGTGATCATGTCGGAGGATCTCACCTTCAAGGACCATAACATTGTATCGATCGCATCTGCTAGAAAAATGACAGGATGGATAATGAGAACCTTCAAAACGAGGGATGCCAAGCCCATGATGACACTCTTCAGGTCACTTGTTCTATCTAGGCTGGAATATTGCTGCACACTAACAGCACCTATCAAGGCAGGTGAAATTGCTGACCTAGAAAATGTACAGAGAACCTTCACGGGGCGCATAACGGAGAAAAAACACCTCAATTACTGGGAGCGCTTGAGGTTCCTGAACCTGTATTCCCTGGAACGCAGGCGGGAGAGATACATGATTATATACACCTTGAAAATCCTAGAGGGACTAGTACCGAACTTGCACACGAAAATCACTCACAGACCGGGCCGCGGGGGCGTTGACCCCCGAAACTCTCTCCAGGTAAACTCCAGGTAAACTACGAAAGCAAAAGACTTGGCAGACGATGCAACATCCCCCCCCCAATGAAAAGCAGGGGTGTCACTAGCACGTTAAGAGACCATACAATAAGTGTCAGGGGCCCGAGACTGTTCAACTGCCTCCCAGCATACATAAGGGGGATTACCAACAGACCCCTGGCAGTCTTCAAGCTGGCACTGGACAAGCACCTAAAGTCGGTTCCTGATCAGCCGGGCTGTGGCTCGTACGTTTGTTTGCGTGCAGCCAGCAGTAACAGCCTGGTTGATCAGGCTCTGATCCACCAGGAGGCCTGGTCACAGACCGGGCCGCGGGGGCGTTGACCCCCGAAACTCTCTCCAGGTAAACTCCAGGTAAACTACTACTCCTCACACTACTACTACTCCTCACACTACTACTACTACTACTCACACTACTACTACTACTACTCACACTACTACTACTACTCCTCACACTACTACTACTACTACTCACACTACTACTACTACTACTCACACTACTACTACTACTCCTCACACTACTACTACTACTACTCACACTACTACTACTACTACTCACACTACTATTACTACTCCTCACACTACTACTACTATTACTCTGTGTGGCCCGGTGGTCTGGTGGCTAAAGCTCCCGCTTCACACACGGAGGGCCCGGGTTCGATTCCCGGCGGGTGGAAACATTCGACACGTTTCCTTACACCTGTTGTCCTGTTCACCTAGCAGCAAATAGGTACCTGGGTGTTAGTCGACTGGTGTGGGTCGCATCCTGGGGGACAAGATTAAGGACCCCAATGGAAATAAGTTAGACAGTCCTCGATGACGCACTGACTTTCTTGGGTTATCCTGGGTGGCTAACCCTCCGGGGTTTAAAATCCGAACGAAATCTTATCTTATCTTATCTTATCACACTACTACTACTCCTCACACTACTACTACTACTATTACACTACTACTACTCCTCACACTACTACTACTACTACTCACACTACTACTACTACTCCTCACACTACTACTACTACTCCTCACACTACTACTACTACTCCTCTTCACACTACTACTACTATTCCTCACACTACTACTACTCCTCCTCACACTACTACTACTACTCCTCCTCACACTACTTTTACTACTCCTCACACTACTACTACTACTACTACTCCTCACACTACTACTGTTCTCTCCACTCTTCCAGAGGGTCAAGTCGAGTCCCCAGTCCCTGACAGTGACAACGTTGACTGCCGGGTGCTTGCGTCCACCCCAGCTGTCCTTGCACTCTTCGTCAGGCGAAGATAACCCCGTACTCATTCTTGCTCCAACTATTCCCCTTGTGCTCTGATGCCATTCTTAGGGGGGGGGGTGGAGGGAAATGGTCAATGTCTTTGCTTTCCATGAAGACTGGAAGCACTATTGCTTCCTGTTCTGAAACCGAGCAAAGATACTACCCATCCAGGTTCTACAGGCTAGTTGTCTACTGCCATGCATGAATAACGTGATGGAGCAACTGCTGGCTGCCTGTGTGTCATGGCAGACACAGACATGACAGTCACAATGCTGCACGCCATATCTTGGACCTGAGTGCAGCATACGACTACATCTCATAACTTTTTTTTCAAGCCAGCCCGCATTGGGGCTGACAGAGTTTAGTTAGTTTAATATGTTTATTATGCACCCCATACCCATCCTGTGGGCGGTAGTCAAAAGATTACAGAGGTACATAATGGGTCCAGGGACTGGACTCCAAAGTTTTGATAGCTGAGCAAGTTACAGAGGTAATGAACTCACAATTTACAAAGGTAATGAACTCACAATTAAAAAAGGTAATTAACTCCCCAAATAGGTCTGGGCACAATTTAAAAACAAGTTTAAAAAGGAAATTTTCAGGTTGGGTCTCCTCCACTATTGACCAACATTTTTTAAAGGGAGGGCCTTCAGGTTGGGGCGGTAGAATTTTTGTTTTTTTTGTTAGGCCGCCTTAATGGCTATTTATTGTGCCCCCCGTAGCTTAACATAAAAAGTATGGGGAAAAAAAAAATTACAAGTCACATTGGGTCCTCAGACCCCCCCCGGGCCAATTTTTCAACACTAAAAAAAATTAGTCATTTCTTTTTTTAAGGTTTTTCCCGGGAAAACCCTTTTCGGGAAAAGATTTTCCTTTTGCCTGTTTCATACGCCAGGAGTGACAAGGGGGTCCTTTCTCCCAAACCCCTCCTGTTTTCTGGCTAATGCCCCAAACTTTCCCCCCACACATGCATTTCCCGGGGGAGCGGGTTTACAGCCCTTATTGTACCACAAGAGAACCGGCCCGCCCCCACATTTAAATAACAACCGAGTCACCCCCAGGGACTTGGGGGGCATGCCCCCTAAGTCTTGACCCTTTAAACTTTAGACGCAAACTCCTGCTTCACTGGGTCAGGCACAAATCTCTCTAGTCTCTTCCCACAGATGGCTGGGCATCGCTGGACGCCACACTGCTGACATGGAGCATATAATGATCCTACACTTGTGCACGCCGATTATGCACGCAGTTTAGAACCCACAACGGGTCAAGCACGTCAAGAAATTAGAAAAAAGTGCAAAGGTTTGCGACAAGGTTAGTCCCAGAGCTAAGTGGATAGGCCTGACGACACTGGAGGACAGGAGGGTCTGGGGAGACATGATAACGACATACAAAATACTGCGTGGAATAGAGAAGGTGGACAGAGACAGGATGTGCCACAGAGGGGACACAGAAAGAAGGGGTCACAACTGGAAATTGAAGACTCGTATGAGTCACAGGGATGTTTAGAAGTATTTCCTCCGAGTAGTCAGGAAGTGGGATAGCCTAGCAAGTGATGTAGTGGAGGCAGGAACCATACATAACTTTAAGACGAGGTATGATAAAGCTCATGGAGCAGGGAGAGAGAGAACCTAGTAGCGGTCAATGAAGAGGCGGAGCCAGGAGCCGAGTTTCGACCCCTGCAACCATAATTGGGCGAGTACTAAAGCGAGGTGAGGGGGGGAGGCAGATATGAGCCACCACCTTGCCTCTAGCAACCACCTAGCACGGAGCAAGTATCCCTACGTGGTAAAAGGGTAATTAGTTCCTACTAAACCTTGGTAATTAATATCTACAAATTGCTTTATGAAGACAAGTAAAACACTAGAAAGTTTGGGTCTTGGGACCTTGTGTAAGAAGCGAGCAAGGTCCCAGGATCGTAATGTTTGCTCACGAGTCAGACTAATTAGTTCCTGTTCACAGAAGAGCCAGAACGGTTTAACTAAAAAAAAAAAAAGTTAAATCCTCTCCATTATACAACTTTACCTGGAGAGAGTTCCGGGGGTCAACGCCCCCGCGGCCCGGTCTGTGACCAGGCCTCCTGGTGGATCAGAGCCTGATCAACCAGGCTGTTGCTGCTGGCTGCACGCAAACCAACGTACGAGCCACAGCCCGGCTGATCCGGAACTGACTTTAGGTGCTTTATTTAACGAATCCAATTCGTTAGAGCTGGAACTTTCAAACTTTTAAGGCAGAAGACACGCTGGCAAAGTGTAAGGCTTAGATCTTTTTTTTATTTCAAGGTCTGTTATCTTAGCGACTTCTGAAGGTAGAAAGTGTGTCGGGGGGGGAGACCTTAATTTATCACTAGGCTACTATATACCAACATTCATATGAACTTGACACATTACCATGAAACATTAAATTTGTTCCACTTCAGCCTAGAACGTCATGTCTAAGCACAAGACTGCACAGTACTCTTACATTGTCTTACGAAAGAGGAAATGCCAGCTGCCCTCTGGCACACCGACCTCCACCTGGCAGATACTTTACCTGGAGTTTACCTGGAGAGAGTTCCGGGGGTCAACGCCCCCGCGGCCCGGTCTGTGACCAGGCTGTTGCTGCTGGCTGCACGCAAACCAACGTACGAGCCACAGCCCGGCTAGTCAGGAACCGACTTTAGGTGCTTGTCCAGTGCTTTAAAAGGCTACAGTAAATACATTTACCAATATTATTATAATTTGCAATTTCACGCATTGGAACGCCGCTTCCGATCAACTTCAAACTTTAAGTGATATGTTGTCTCATTGGAAGATTGTATATTTTAGTGAGTCATGTTGCCTATAATTAAGATAAGATAAGATTTCGTTCGGATTTTTAACCCCGGAGGGTTAGCCACCCAGGATAACCCAAGAAAGTCAGTGCGTCATCGAGGACTGTCTAACTTATTTCCATTGTGGTCCTTAATCTTGTCCCCCAGGATGCGACCCACACCAGTCGACTAACACCCAGGTACCTATTTGCTGCTAGGTGAACAGGACAACAGGTGTAAGGAAACGTGTCGAAATGTTTCCACCCGCCGGGAATCGAACCCGGGCCCTCCGTGTGTGAAGCGGGAGCTTTAAGCCACCAGGCCACACTTAGTGATCCGAAAGACTGATACTAAGTAATGGAGTCGCCCAATTTCCTGGAGTCGTTCACAACGGTCTTAATTGTGTATCTAAAAACTAAACTGCTAAATATTCAACTGAAATCAAATATTACTCGCATGAGCCATTTCACAGGCAAATTTTATCACAGAACATGTATAGAGAGAGGAATGCAAGTTTATATATGCACGAGCCTATATACACACTTACGTGCGCTTGTGCGTGTACTAATATGCGAAAGTAAACCATCCGTACATGTACACAATTTACATAGGTATATACATTCATAAAACAATATAAACAGGTAATGTGATTGGTGTACGTAAACAAGGATTGAGAGGGGCGGGTTTCAGGTACAAGAACACTGCTGCAAGTCACAAGGATGTCAGGAACTGCTTCGTCTTCAGTGGTCAACAAGCGGAACTATCTGGGCAGTAAAGTGGAAGCAGGATCTATACATAGTTTAAAGAGTGGGTACAATAGGGCTCACGCAGCCAGGAAAAATGAGACCAGTAGTGGCCAGCGGAGCCAGGAGGAGAGACTAGACCCCTGCAACCCCAATTAGGATAGTATATGCTATATTACACAAAATCATTAACAGAACTGCGGCTAGCTAGGATTCGATCCTGCGTCGCCATGCCCAGCCCTGTGAAAACAGGACAAAGTATCCACTATCCACTGGACCACAAATTCGAATTTGTCCAGCGGATAGTGATGCGTACTATGTACTGTTCTCACAGGGCTGGGCATGGCGACGCAGGGTCGAATCCTGGCTAGCTGAAGTTCTGTTAATCATTCAAAATCACTTGTTTCGAGATTTTATTAATTTTATATAAAATGGATTGGTTAGTGGGTCGTCAGTCAGAGCGGACGTACATTAAACTAGTGTGGCAAGTGTCTCGTTCTTAAACCTGTCGGTTTTTAAACCATTACATCACCTGTGGTGGTTCACACAACAACGAACCACACAAGATACTGGGCTTGTGGTTCTGGTGGGGAAGGTGGAATTACGTTGCTGTTCTCTATAGTCTCTCGTCAGATTTGATAAATTAGACATGTGCAACACTTTGGTATCTTTAATGAGGAAACGTTTCGCCACACAGTGGCTTCATCAGTCCATACAAAGGAGAATGTATGGACTGATGAAGCCACTGTGTAGTGAAACGTTTCCTCATTAAAGATACCCAAGTGTTGCACATGTGTCTAATTTATCAACTTGTCGGTTCTCTGAACCATTCATCTACATATCGTCAGATTTCGTATTTGCTCTGCGGTGCTCTGGCATGTCTTCACCATAGATGTGGATGCCACCAAACTGACGCATGAACGGCAATCTTTCAGCCAGACGGTCACCTGACGTCAGACATTCGTGCCGGGGACAACCACCTGGATGTTTATGTTCGTAATCCCAGGAAAGTTTTTGGCAAGGTCGAATTCCATCTTTGTGGGGAAGGTGATGGAGGCTGCAGTGAGCGATGTCATTATGGTTTGTTCAGAGGTGGATGGATTTATTGATTTAAATGTGCACGATTGGACAGGAGACTTAAAATCGTACTAGCATTATTGCAAAACAATCACAGAATGGGTGGAGATCGAACCCATGGTAAGAGTCTTAAAACTTTCAGGCCAGTGCATTAACTATTGACCAGTTGGCGCTAATAAGATTTATCCAACTAATAACGATTTTTTAACCACAGGGATTTTTGCATGGGTTTCAGTGGATTTTACGGGTTTTTTGGG